AAAGAGGAAAATAACAGGCATTCTCTTATCGAGCCTCCTCAGAACCTCACTCCTGGTTAGCAATGATACTCCATCCCCTCTAAAAACATTCCAGCCCAGGGAACCAGCAGTTAGCGTAATGGCTATGTCACTGGACTCCCACGTAGTTGACTGCAGTTCGCATCCCGGACCTGGTGGCTTAAAACACACACTGGGCACATGCGCGTGCGTGCCCAAGATCCCGAGAGGAGAATGGAGGAGAAGGGATTGCAGCATGACCATCCCCCATGGGGGGTGATTTCTCACTTTCTGTCTCTCTCTCTCTGTCTGTCTCGCGAGCGCATGCGCCCTATAGCAAAAAACCTCTCAAAAAAAAAAAAAATTCCAACCCATGGTCAGGACACCCGGACATCTGTGGCTTGCAGATTAGTTCTCCCCAACACTTTTTTTTTTAAGAGAGATTTTTTCTATAAGGTGTGTGCTCTCACTATAGAGACAGAGATAGAGAGACAGAAAGTGAGAAATCACCCCATGGGGGTGGTGGGGGAGGTTGGCCACACCACAATCCCTTTTTTATTCTCCTCTTGGGATCTTGAGCACACACACACATGCGCCTGGCATGACTTTCAAGCCACTAGGTCAGGGACTTGAACCTTGGTCTAGTACATGGGAGTCCAGCAATCTAACTATTAAGTCATTAACTGGTCTGATCCCCAACACTTTTGTTCCTGCCACCTGGGCTGTCTGCTTATCAGAGATTTCTTCAGCTTGTTCTTTAACTTGTTTATGCCAGTTCTGTTATGATTAACACACACACAAATCAAGACTTGTGTAGCACTCCCACCAGGCAACACATACATATCACAGAAAAGTGAACACACTTAGACCTATATCAAAACTTTGGCAACTGAATAAACTTTTTATGACTTCAAATAAAATATGTAAGCTGTTTAAGGGTTATATTTTTATTTAAGTGATGCTCAACTTCTGTCAATCCTGTTAATAAGCCAATCACCTCCTTCATCTTCATAGTATTGGATGATGTGTTCCACCATCTTAGAATTCTTCATTCAGATTCAAATGAAAATGGAATGGCTTGAAATTAGCCAAATGATCTAAAGGCAGCTTATTAAAAAATAATTTCCCCCCATGAACTTCGTTAGGGACACTATGGGCTTTCTGCATGTTGGTTTACCCTGTTCAACATTTTATTTAGAGTGTTCTTAGATCCACTAGCATTTTCTGAGCCTCAGTAGTTAGAGCAGCTGCTTCCCCCACCCATTCCCCTATCCTCCACTTCAGTCCCCCAGTGTGTGGGGAGGCCACTTGGCCTTCCACATTTGCCAAGAGTGGCCTATGGATTGCATAATCCACCTGTCCATCATTGAGACTTAACACATTAGAAAATGAAAGGACAGTGAAGCCTGTAGGAAGCTCTTCTAGAACATTTCACTCAGGTGCCTTGAGGTCACTTAGAGGCTTGGGCATCACTTTCTGGAGAAAGAGGGCAGATGTGACCAGATATGGAAGGAACCGTGGAACTCAGAGACCTGGGATTTAGAGCAACAGGTCTGAAGTCCTTGAAGACTAGCCTCTGGAAGGAGTCCCTGGGGACTGGCCACATCCTGGGTGATGACAGCAGAGGGGTAATGTGCTTCCTGTCTCCACCCCCACCTACGTTTCTTGCAAAGCCACTTAGACGCCCCACCCCAGTTGTCAAGGTAAGAGAGGGAGGTACAGATGTAGCTTTTGGACCTGTCCCATCATAGCCCAGAATGGAAGGACTCAGGGGAATGGGCTATTCCTAGAACCAAGTAGCTGCCCATGGGACCTGGCTGTAGTTCACCATAGAAAAAGCCTGACCTCCGAGGCTCGGCCTCCTCACTCACTAGCTGAAGAGAGTGCATCTGAGAGTCTCTGTGATCCCCTCTAGCGCTGCTGGCCCAGGAGGCTGTGACCCCTTGGCAGGGGTGAATCAGTTGGTCACCAGCAGAGAATGGAGGTCATCCAATAGGTCCCTAATTGCCTGGACAGAAAGGGTGAATGGACACCCCTGAAGTTGGGGTGAGACTCTACGTGCTGGCAGAAAGCCAGGGCCGCTGTTCCCCTTCCAGGTAGAAGCAGGAGTTGAGGATGGGCGTCTGTCTGCTAAAACCCTGAAGCTCAGATAAGTGTAAGGGAAGGATTCCCCGCTGCTCAGAGCCAGAGGAAGAGTACGGGGCTGGGAGAGTCTCCACTTCTAGCAGCGTCTTGGGGTGACGGGGCCGCCTCTTTGGCCCCCCCTCAGGAGTGGGCAGGGAGGTTCCAGGATTCGGCGCCCCTCACCAGCCTATCATTCCTCCTGCAGGTGGCTCAGCTCCTGGGCAGGGAAGAGGCAGAGTCAGTTGGCTTTGGGCGCCCGGAACTCGGGCATGCTCCAGGTCCGGGGAGGCGGTGGTGCCACCCGCTCCACGTCCTCCGAGATGGTGCGGATGTCGCTGGCGAAAGGGGAGATGCGCGCGCGGGTCTTGAAGGAGGCTAGGCTGCCTCGGGGCCGCAGGCTCCACTGCCGAGTCAGCTTGTGGGCCTCCTCCTCCTGCTTCATCCGCTCCAGCACTTCTTGCAGCACCGAGCGGAACAGCTGGGCCACCTCCTGCACCTCGAGATCCCCCTCTTCTAGCGGCGTCTGGGGGTGGCGGGCCCGCCTCTTTGGCCCCCCCTCAGGAGTGGGCAGGGAGGTTCCAGGATCCGGCGCCCCTCACCAGCCTATCATTCCTCCTGCAGGTGGCTCAGCTCCTGGGCAGGGAAGAGGCAGAGTCAGTTGGCTTTGGGCGCCCGGAACTCGGGCATGCTCCAGGTCCGGGGAGGCGGTGGTGCCACCCGCTCCACGTCCTCCGAGATGGTGCGGATGTCGCTGGCGAAAGGGGAGATGCGCGCGCGGGTCTTGAAGGAGGCTAGGCTGCCTCGGGGCCGCAGGCTCCACTGCCGAGTCAGCTTGTGGGCCTCCTCCTCCTGCTTCATCCGCTCCAGCACTTCTTGCAGCACCGAGCGGAACAGCTGGGCCACCTCCTGCACCTCGGGCTCCTGCTCCGCCAGCAGCTGCCTGAACCTGGGTGAGAGAGGGCGGCGCGATGGCGACTAGTTACTTGGGTCTCCCTGGCCGCCACTAACCGATGGCTACCTGCGCCTCCCGGTGCTCAGTTCCCATAGCGTCTACTAGCCCTGCTCCCGAGGCCGATCGGCAGCCACCCAAGCCCATCCTGAGGGTCAATCCTGTTCTGTCCCTTCGGCCTCCGGGAGCCTCAGCTTTTCCACCTGTACACGGGGTGAGAGCTACCTTTTCATAAAGTTGAAAGATCCTGACTCTGGAGCCAGCGCGGGACATGGTGGTTAAGGTAGCTGGATACCACATGGCTGGACGATTGGTTTGAGTCCTGGACCTGGGGCCTGAAAATCAGGCCAGGCACATGCGCAAGTGGCCCAAATTCCAAGAGGAAAATGGAGAAGAGGGGGTTCTGTATGGCCATACCCCGGGGGAGGTATGGTTTTCTTTGTCTCTCTCTCTCTCTCTCTTTCTCTCCCCAGGAGTGCACATGCCCTCTAGCAAATTAAACTAAATTAAAAAAAGAAAAATCCTGACACTGACCTGGTTCTCTTGGCTCCCTGCGAATTTTCCAAAGCTATTTCCTTTAATGTCTTTGTTTTGAGCTTAAGAACGAACTGTAACGAGCCTGTTTAATGCCTGATTTCCTCCACTGGATAGAGAATCAGGACTTCTCAAACTTCTCAGCAGCAACGTGCGGCCAGAAATGTGACAGGATGCTCTCAGAGTGTGGTGTGTGTGAGCGTGTGTGTGCGTTCCTGCCTTCCCTCTCCCTGGTGAGGCTTGGCTTGTCCACTCAGGTAGCCTCATCAGCTCCACTACCCTGAGACTCAGCTGCCCTGACCCCAGGGGCTTCTGCAGCCAGACACACTTTGAAGGGCTTCAGTGATACAGAATCAGAAAAATAGGGGGTAGTAAGATTCTCAGCCTGGAGGAAGAAAGCAGACACGGTAAAAGTGCAAAAATCAGAGGAGGGTGGATGCAGCTGGAGAAGGAAGACGTTGTGTGTTTTTTTGGTTTTGTTTTAATTTAATTTAGTAAGAATTCTGGGGCCAGCACGTGGCATGGTGGTTAAGGGCACTGGACTCTCATATGGCTAACTGGTTCAGGTCCCAGGCTTGGTGGCTTGCTTTATCACTTTCCATTGCTCTCACTCTGTCCCTTTCTGGTCAAATTAAAATAAATAAATAAAATAAATAAAGTTAAATAAAAATAATTACTTTAAAAATTAATAAAAATTCTGTAGGGAACGTGTGCTCACCAGAGAGACAGAGACAGAGACAGAAAGTGAGAAATCACCCCCAGGAGGGATGGCCATGCTCCAAACCCTTCTCCTCCATTCTCCTTTCAGGATTTTGGGCATGCATGCACACGTGCCCCGTGTGTTTTAAGCCTCTGGGTCCAGGACTTGAACCACTGTGGACTACGTGGGAGTCCAGCAGTATAACCACTGTGCCATCTGCTGGTCCCCATCTCCTTGAATTTTTATATGTGTGTATACTCATGTACCCACTACAGATGCATCCATTTGGTGAAAAGGATGGGTGAGGAAGATTTTGGGTGATTAAAGGGGGATTTTTAAGTGTTTTATGATGGGTTTTATTCCTTTATTAGTGTTTGAGAAATGCAAGCAAAGAACTTGAGTTATTTTTTTTTTTAGAGGTTTTTGCTATAGGGTGCATGTGCTCGCCAGACAGAGAGAGACAGAGAAACAGAAAGCGAGAAATCACCCCCTGGGGGGATGGCCACGCTGCAATCCCTTCTCCTCCATTCTTCTCTCGGGATCTTGGGCATGCACGCACACGCGCCCGTCGTGAGTTTTAAGCCACTGGGTCCGAGACGTGAACTGCAGTCGACTACATGGGAATCCAGCAACACAGCCATTACGCTAACTGCTGGTCCAGAACTTGAGTTATTTTGAAGTGACTCCTGGTTTGGGAATAGCTGCTTTCCTGACTTCAACACCAATCCAAGCAAGACAGCACCGTGTGCGTCACAGCTTCGGTAAGGTTACACTTTTTTTAGAAGTTGTTTTTTTTTTTTTTTTTTTTTGGCTTGTTTTTTTAACTTTTGCCAGAGGTAACGTGCTTGTCAGAGAGAGTAAGTGAAAAAAGCACCTCTCATGGGGAATGGTCCTCCTCTTCTCCATTTCTCCTTCCTGTTGGGATTTCGGTGTTTTTCAAGCTGCTGGGTTGACACGCGAACCATGCAGTTGGCTACGTGGGATCCAGCACCTTAGCCACCACACCAGGGTGCCCAAGGTTCCATTTGTACCCAGGAACAGTCATACCCAAGCTCTAAAAGTTCAGCGCCCCGGGTGCTGAACTCTTCCTACACAAAACCCTGCACACACACACGTGCATTCTTACACATGTGCACACACTCTGACACACATACACACTCACAAACTCCTGCACACACGTGCATTCTTGTACATGCACACATACTCTGACACACATACACACTCACAAATGCCTACACATGCGCAAACATACATATGCATTCTTGAAAAAGAAATGATAACTATTTGAGATGAAGGATAAGCTAATTACTCAAACTTGATTGTTACATATTATATACATATATACACACACACACACATATATACATATAAACTAAATCACACTGTACCCCAGAAATTTGTGCAATTATGTGTCCTTTTTTTTGAGAGTTTTTTTTGCTATAGGGCGTGTGCACTTGCCAGAGAGACAGAGGGAGACAGAAAATGAGAAACCACTCCCCAGGGGGGATGGCCATGCTGCAGTCCCTTCTTCCTCCATTCTCCTCTGGGGATTTGGGGAACACACACACACATGCACCCGGCATGAGTTTTAAGCCACCAGGTCCAGAGTGGTTGACTACGTGGGAGTTCAGCTAACCATTACACCATCTGCTGGTCTCAATTATGTGTCAATATTTTAAACATCCAGGTTAATAACTTTCTGGGCAGGGAGAAAAGAAAGTTCAAAAACCTTGAGTTCTCTACATGATAACTTGTGGCTAGCAGCTGCCTCTGGCCCCCTCTGCACTGGCCCTGGCTGGTGTGTCATGGCCTCTTTCAGGTTCTTCCTGCCCTGCTCCTTCTAACAGCTAACTGGGTGGTCCAGGACCTCCACCTCTAGCCCTAGTGGCCAGCAGGCCCCTGCTGCCACAGCCCTCTCTCGGGGTCCTGCAGCCCAGCCGCTGGTCCTGGGTGCAGAGTACACGGTTACCTGAGGATGGCGGGCCCACAGTAGGACGGGGGGATCTTGGCGCAGACGTCCTCCAGTTGCAGCCTCTCGCCAGGGCTGAGGTCGTAGGTGGGCCGGGGCGTGCTGGCCAGCCAGCTGTAGTCCACGCCGGTGCAGACCTTCCTGACCGTGTGACTGCGCTCCCACTGCTGCCTCTCCGCCTCTCGCATCTGCCCTGCCAGCTCCATCATGAGCGTCTCCAGCACCATGTCAGCTGGGCTCCTGGTCGACAGGCGGGGCGGGGCCTCGTTCCATCGGAGCCACGGAATGAGAGACATGGCCTCCCTGGTCCTGCGGAGACAGGGCACAGAGCATCTTCACTGGGCCCCTCTGTCAGCTGGAGGGGGGAACTGGGGAGATCAAGGAGGAGAGAGGAGAGCCGGGCTGGTGAGAAGACCCGCTCCTCCTGCCCTTACAGCTGGGTAACCTGGGTAGGTTGCTTAACCTTTCTGAACAATCATTTGTAATCCTGCAAGACAAGATAGGATTGCTGTGAGAGGCTGGGGTGAATAAACTTGGTATGTTGTAAACATCACATAGAAGTAAAACATGCCTGGGGCCAGCAGGTGGTATGGTGGTTAAGGGTGCTGGACTCCCACATGGTCGACCATGGTTCGAGTCCTGGACGTGGTGGCTTGCTTTCTTACTCTCCCTCATCCCCCCTTTTCACTCTGTCCTCTCTCGTCAAATTAAAATAAATAAATAAAATTAATAAAGTTAAATAAAATAATAATAAAATAATTCTTTTAAAAAAGGAATAAAACATGCTTATGGTTAGAATGATCCTTAAAGCATCCAGATAATCGATTCCAGAGAAATTGCCTCCCAGTGAAGCAGAAAATATGCCATTTATAGCTGAGCACATTCTTCTTATGATTGAAGGGGAGAAAACACACTCTGTCGTGTTTAGAACAAATGTTTGTGTCCTTTGTCAACCTAACAGGAAAACACTCTACGTGTCTAAACACCTCCAACCTATTGCTGAACGATGCCCAACACTACATGGTGTACACAGTACCCTGAACAAGCGTAACTTACCCACCACTCGTTCATTCATGCACGCCTTCACCATTCATGCATCTGCCAGCATTAACAGAGCCCCGTGGGAGCCAGCAGGTGGTGCGGTGGTTAAGGTGCTAGACTCCCACATGGCTGACCACAGTTTGAGTCTCTGACCTGGGGGCTTGAAACTCACACCAGGCATGTGTGTGTGCGTACCCAAAATCCCGGGGGGGGAAGGGATTGCGATATGGCCATCCCCTGGAGTGTGTGTGTGTAAGTGTGTGTGTGTATATGTGTGTGTGTGTGTGTGTGTGTGTGTATATGTGTGTGTGTGTGTGTGTGTGTGTGTGATTTCTCGCTTTCTCTCTGTCTCTTCAGTGAGCACACACCCTATAGCAAAAATCTCTCTTTCACAAAAACAATTGAACCCACTTGTGACTGCCCCTCCCCCCCGACTGCCACCAGACCACCCTGCCCCTGTAGCTGAGTGCTGGCACCCGGCTCTCTAGCTTGTCCAACATGGAAGATGAGTACATGAGGATAGGGCTGATGACTCTGAGGCAGAGGACGGGACACTCCTGAATGATGTCTTAAACTAACCTACTATGTACCAAGCGATAGATGTGCCTATGGCTACCTGCCACCCCCCACCAATGGTCAGCTCCCCTCCCACCTGCCTGAGGCTTTCACTCTTCTGACCCTCCTTCCTTGTGGAGATGCTCTCTCCATTCGATCATGCTCCTTGGTCCTCTTCCTCTCACTCTGGAGACTCTGGGCTCCTTTCCTCTGTACTCCTTGGGTTACTGCTATCCCCTGAGGCCACATGGGAGGCTCTTTTCAATCAATTTCATTCTTTCACATGTTTCCAATTACTGCCCCAATGTCAGGAGGTCCGATGTCCAAATCCATAACCGATTGTCTCTTGAACTCCAGATCGGGGTCTCCCTATCAGGGTTTCACAAACCCCTGAACCCTCACATCCCAAATCTCCCATCTCCTGTCCCATAGGCTGCTGCTTCACCTGGGTCCCCAGAGTGGTATGGGCACAGCCAGGCCCAGTCATGCCCCATCCTTGTCTCCCCTCTTGACACCATCTGTCAAATCCTCCCTGTCCTCCAAATCCAAATATTATGGTTCTCCCCAGGTTGTCCCTTCTCTGTCCCTTCATGACACAGCATCAGCCTTGACCATCTGCCGCTCATGTTTGAGTAGCCATTTGCTAGCTGGAAACCCAGGGCTCAACCCAAGCTGTCCTCTGAAGTATGATCTTTCCAGAGCCCACATCTGACCTCACTGTTTTGTTGTCAATAGTCACCGCAGCACAATGGGTGAGAGTCTGTGAGCTGTTCAAAACCTGTCAGCCCCACACCAATGTTTTATTGGCTTCAAAACATACACCAGATATTCACAGAAATCTAAAAAATGGAAAGTAATAATAATTTAAAATCGGCATTATAAAACTCCTTTCAAATTTATTGAAAAATAATGATTAGATCAGCCTGTGGCTTGGTGGGTAAGGAAGCTGGATTCCGCATGGCCAACTGCATAGTTCAAATCCCTGACCGGAGAAACATACCACGCATGTGTGTGTACCCCAAATCCCGGCAGGATGGAGAAAAGGAGGAGAAGGGATTTTGATGTAACCATGCTCCACTAAGGAGTGCTTTCTCCCTCACCCTCTGTCTCTCTGGTGAGCATACACACTCTCCTGCAACATTAAGAAATATTATACAGATTCATTCTGTGGCAGTTCCTTGTGATATGGGGTGGACGCTCCAACAGTAAAAGCCTCCAGGCCTGTGAAGGCCTTTAAATCATCCTCTGGTTAGGCCCTGGGAGGCTTAAAATCTTTCAAAGGTTCTTGATAGCCTTGAAGACTAAACTGAAACCTCTTACTGTGTCTTCAAGGTCTTCGAGGGCCCTTCATCACCTCTTTAACTTCTCAGTTCTCCCCTCCCACAGCCATACCACTCTGTTCCTACTGGGGCTAGCTCTCTCTTGCACACACCTTGAATGTTTTCAATCTCCCAGTACTTGAATAAATGTCCCTCCGCTCTTAGCTGACACTTTGTTCCTTCAGGAGCATTCCCTGAGACTCTCTGACTGGGGAAGGTGGCTCATCTCTGTTCCCAGGTTGCTCCCCGCTGACCCCTTCCTGACTCAGCCACAGTGTGCTCTTACATCCTGTGCACCACTCCCCCTCCAGACTGCACGGGAAACCAAACCCCATTCGGCACCCAGCACCCAGCACCCAGCGGGGCTGGCCTATGGCATTTGATCACTGAACAACCACGGAAAAATGGGGCAATCCTTATTTTCTAACTTACTTAGGATGGATAGGGTTGCCATGTGCTACTTCAGTCATTGTGTGTGTGTGTGTGTGACCCTGCTGGGCCACAACTCTATCTGAGAAGTCCCCACTCCCAAATTTCTCACTCTTCCTAAGACCCATTTTGAGGACTTCATCTTTGGGGCAAGCATTGCCCTCCTTAGGGCCTTTTTCTTCTTGGTCCACACTTGCAGTAGAGCCACAGGAGGCAGCACAGAGGCTTGGCCATCGGGTCCTCCTGTAGCTGGAGAAATGTGGAATAAGAAAGGGGAAATACTGAGGATAACTCGGCCTCCAAGGAAAACTGGCTTCAGAATTTCTATGCTGGGACCAGCAGTTGGCATAATGGCTATGTCACTGGACTCCCATGTAGCCAGCTGACTGCAGTTCGGGTGCCAGACCTGGTGGCTTAAACTCACGCCGGGTGAGTGTGCGTGAGTGCCCAAGATTCTGAGAAGAGAATGGAGGAGAAGGGATTGCGGCATGGCCATCCCTCCTGGGGGGCGATTTCTCACTTTTTTTCTCTCATCTTTCTGGTGAGCACATGTGCCCTAAAACCTCTCAAAAAAAAAATTCTACTCCAAGGCCACCGAAGTGCCTGGCCAGGGCGCTGGGGCCTGAGCAATGGGCCCTGAGCAATGGGCCCGCCCCAATCCCCATCTATGAGAGGTTGGGGAGCACTATGAATGGAGGCCTCATACTGTAGTCCTATGTCTATAAGGATAGATAAAAACTATGTAAATTCTATATACTTATTGTAAGGTATTATAAAATTACTTTAAATGATTAGAAATCTATTTTTCAAATAATTTATTATTTAACTATTACATATGTCTATAAACATATAATTATGTTTTTAAGTAAGTTCTAAAATGATATCCATGTTTTTATATAAATATGGATTTATGTGAAATGTATACACAGAAATATATAAATAAATGTTATATGAAGGGATTTCAAAGAGATTATGATTGTATTCTATCGCAGAAATTGAAAGATCCAAAGATATGCTTGTAAGAAGGGTAATGAAGATATCAGAGACTGTAAGGGAGGAGAGGGGATGGTAGCAGGTAGGTAGGAAGGGCAAAGGGAAGAAATATTTTTCTTTTTTTAGAGATTTTTACTATAGAGTGCATGTGCTTGCCAGAGAGACAGAAAGCAAGAAATCGCTCCCCTGGGGGATGGCCACACTGCAATCCCTTCTTCTCCATTCTCCTCTCAGGATTTTGGGCATGGACACACATGTGCCCAGTGTGAGGTTTTTTGTTTTTGTTTTTGTTTTTGCTATAGGGCATATGCGCTTGCCAGAAAGACAGAGAGAGACAGAGAGACAGAAAGTGAGAAATCACTCCCCAGGAGGGATGGCCACACTGCAATCCCTTTTCCTCCATGCTCCTCTCAGGATCTTGGGCACACACACTCATGCACCCAGTGTGAGTTTAAGCCACTGGGTCCAGGACTCGAACTGCAGTCGATACATGGGAGTCCAGTGACATAGCCATTATGCCATCTGCTTGTCTCCCAATGTGAGTTTTAAGCTGCTGGGTCTGGTACTTGAACCGTGGTTGACTACGTGGGAGTCCAGCGATGTAACCATTATGTCATCTGCTGGTCCTAGGAAGAAATACTTAACAGACCCAAGAATGTAAAATTCTCCACTGAAAACAATGTACATGGTAATATCCTTGATTTAATTGTCAAAAAAAGAAGAAAAAATGGCGTTGAAGTAAGAGTTTATTTTGGTGCAGAAAATTTTGAATTCCAAGCCATTTTTTTCATGATACATGTTTTCTGTGAACTTTCTGAAGACCTCTTGTGTGTCTAAATATTTTAATTTACAAATTAAGCTAACAAACTATTAAAAAGAAAAAAAAAGGCATTGAAGTAAGAGTTTATTTTGGTGCAGAAAATTTTGAATTCCAAGCCATTTTTTCATGATACATGTTT